AGAAAGACAGACAGACAGACAGACGGACAGACAGACAGACAGTCAGACCGACAGACAGACAGACAATCAGACAAACAGACAAACACACAGACAGATACACACACAGAGAGGAAAAGGATGGTGGGTGGGGGGGGGAGATGACCAGTTATATTCAGAAGAAATCTTTTGTCATCATTGCCCTTGCCTTTCTCACCCTGGACTAAGGTACAGTCGGTGTGTTCTTTCGGGGATTCGAGCCTCGGCTCGGTCTGACGTTGTGTCCTTTGGAAAGGCACTTTGCCCGAATTTCCTATTTAGCTTGGTCCTTTTGTAGAAGGACGTTAAACTCGGAGGTCCCGTCCCTTAAATAACATCAGAGTGTTGACAGGGGCGTTGTTCATATACCATGTTCAGGGTATTGGCCACCGACAAGCACTCTTCAAGTTGCCTTGTCTTGGACTCAGTGTCGAAGCGTCTATATAATCAAATAATCACTGCTTCCCTTCCTAATTTTGAAACATTGTCGCTGTCAAATTCACCCATAAACTTAAACTTCATAAATTAAATGTAAAAAGACGTTCAAAATCACCAATGAGCAGTATGCCTAGCATTCAAAAAGGTTTCACTGCCACTGCCACAGAAATAGCCTGCTCACCTCTCTCGGGCCACTCCATAAGCAGTCACAAGCTTTGATTAAGTAAGCTTAAAGTGAGGCTTGAAGAGTCTACCAATAGAGTTGAAGGGAACATGTGCATAACAGTCAAAACTGTTTCATTGCGACAAATATCCTGTTCACCCCTTTGGAGCCACAGTTATAAGCAGTCACAAACTCTGATTATGTAAGCTAACTATTACACTGGTCGAGTCTACCTCACAAATGTGAGGGGAACTAACTCCTAATAATTTCTTGATTGCTGCAAGTGCTTGTTTTTTTTCCTCGACTTTTTACCGTCCTATAATCAGATCGTGACCTCGATTTTGACACCGCCTCCTGGCCGAGAAAGGCTAGACAAAAACAGCCAAATGTGAAATTTTAAAAAAATTATAATTGTCATGTTCTATAAAAGAGTTAACCTCACTGGTAGATCTATAACATATAGATCTAGTACTGACATCTCTGCTTCTTTGCTTTGTATTTGTGTATTCACATCTAAAGTTGGAACTGATATTTAATAAGATACTTTTCCGATTATTTTGGCGGTTGAACATACAATATGAATTCTGGATTTGTTTTCATTCACAACTCAGAGTCGCCACCTCGAGTAAGATTCTAGTGTGATATCTCCAAGCCATATTTGGTCCCGTTTCACTTTGGTTACCCTGTCAAACAAGTCAGCCTTTGCCCCTGCTTGGACTAGTTTCTACTTTTGACAATATTCTATGTCGTTATCTTTTCCTGTACACACCATAACCTGTGATTCTGTTTGAGGTTTCATGTCGACTTCCATTTGATCTCTAACTCTGTGGATTCCATTCCAAAACTACCTGAAGGAAATGCAGGGATAAGTAGATAATACACACAGGCCGACACCACACACACACACACACACACACACATACACACACACACACACACACACGCATACACACAGACAGACACACACACTCATGAAACACACACACACACACACACACACACACACACACACACACACACACACACACACACACAAACACACCTGCACATCTGAAATCGAACTGAAACGAATTGAACGACACTTAACCATAGAATGGACGAGCATAGAAAACAACGTGTGAGTGGAATCCACTACGCTTTTAATACTTCGGAATGCAGTGAAAAACACCAATACATTTCAAAAATCTTAAAAACAGTGCTTCATAAGCTAACTATCAACAGCAATAGCATGTCATCGTTATAAAATAGAAACCAAAATGTGCACACTAATGTCAATAGCTTTTTCATCATCCATTTACTAATATGCACCACAGATTTGTGCACAGAGTTTTCCCCTTGCCCAATTGTATAAGTTGAACGCCATCTGATTAGTTAGTATTGTGTACAGAATGACCATGAATTTTATCTATCTGCATGCCTGTCTATCTATCCGTCTATTTACCTGTTTGTCTGTCTGTATCTATCTATAAGCATACACATCTATCCATCTATCTATCTGACTATCGATCTATCTGTCTATCTACCCATCTATCTGTTTATTATGTCCCTCTCTTCATCGACATAAATGTATACGAATCTATCTTTCTATAATATGTTCATCTGTCTGTTTAACTTTCTATATGTAATTTCTTTATCTTAGTCTGTCTACCCAAAATGCTACACAAAGACTGTGTTGTGGTCGTATTTCTTAAAAAGCTAAAGCCAGAAAGAGTCACTAAGGCACATTGCGCTGGATAACGTATAAACTAAATCATATTATATATATATATTATATATATATATATATATATATATATATATATATATATATATATAATATCAATATATATATGTATTTCATTCTATATACAACTATGTTATATATAATCAAAACATAACCGCCACATGTTATTTTATTACGCTCACAAATTCCAATACAACCAATGCTGTGTATGAGACAAGTTAAAGCAAGGATATAGGCACATCCAGTTCAGCAAAAAAAACCAATACATAAAACAAAACAAAAATCTTTTTAAGGCAATAAGTTATTTCTCCGAAAACATCACGCAATAACAACAATTTTCTGAGCCCAAAATCATGATTTATTTTCTGGGGGTTTTCTGTGCCAAAAAAAAACTATGTCTTGGCCAAATTTTTTTGGGTAAAAAAGCATCATATAATGGCAAGTTTCTGCGCCAAAAACATTATGTGATGAAAACATATAATTATGCGCCTGATATGTGACATAAATGAAACAAGATAAAAGACTTTTAAAAAATAACCGTACTGCGTAATAATATTATAACTTGATCCTTGTCTTACAGTGTAAACATTTATACTAGAATTAGACTGGCCTTCTTCAGCATTTAGTGTGCAAATATTTTTTTATTTTTTTTTGGTGGTTGAAATCGTGACGTTGTTTACAGTGCACTCTACCAATCAGATTCATCAAACTGATCTTACTATTTTAGCGCAATACGATCGATTCAACTCGTAACCTAGAAGAATAAACGCTTTTAATTTGCCGGGCCAGCTCGAGTAGAGAGGGATAGAACCTCCCAGCATGCAGACTTAATATCATAGACTGACGATTTAACAAACAAACAACCTCCCTAACCGAAAATCGAACCCGCGTATTCTACAAAATACGGCAACGCACCTTTTTCCTACACCACTAACATCTAAAATTTCTTGGGAAACTGAATAGAATTCTAGTAACATAAAAAGAAGTATATGGCACAGGCCACTTAGAAATCCAAACAAGCAGCCACGAGAAAAAATAAATCATAATGAAAGGGTAGACATAAATTTCAGTAAATTTAACGAGAATTTGAACAGAGTATCTGTTGAAAGAGTAAAGCTTATGCACGCTAGAAATGAAAAAAAAAAGTAATAAAAGCTATATCCATTTATTCATGGGTCATCATCATAATTATGCATGGTAATATCCTCAAGCAATGAAAACAATATACAACAATAGTGAACGTTTCTCTCTCACCAAGCCTTTAGCTTTTTCTTCTATCCCCCTCTCTTTTTTTCTTTCTCTCTGTCTCTCTCTCTTTCTCTGTCTGTCTGTCTGTCTGTCTGTCTGTCTGTCTCTCTCTCTCTGTCTCTCTCTCTCTCTCTCTCTCTCTCTCTCTCTCTCTCTCTCTCTCTCTCTCCTTTTCACTTCGCATTTTACTCTATATACAACCGCAATTTTAACTTTTTGTACTCCTTTCTACCTTTGACCTATTAATAATAATAATAATAATAATAATAATAATAATAATAATAATAAAATAATGATAATAATAATAATAATAATAATAATATAATTACAACAACAACAACAACAACAACAACAACAACAACAACAACAACAACAATAACAACAACAACAGATTGTTTTCCTGATCATGAGAAAAAAAGTGATTTACTTAGCAGAAGGGTGTCATGTTCATAGAGACAATGTAATAAATAAATCTACATGTATATTACATAAACAAAACCAGCTTCTATAAACATAAGAAATGGGGAAGATAGAAAATCAACAAACAGTTATAAACGGAAACCTCATTGCAAATTGAAACAATACAGCAACCCAGTTAGGAGTCGTGGTTAAAGTATCTTTCTCAAAGACACACTCGGTGACCGCCTATGAAATTGCTATGGCCACGTGACGTATCTTGACATCTTTGTATCACGTTTACTGACAACTCAATAATGGAGTCCTTCATGAGAACATATGGTTATACAATTATACAAAACCAAAAAGAAAGCTGTGTAGTTAGGTGGCTGATGGTTGTCATGCTCCCAACGCGGTAAGGTTGAAAGAGAGGGGCGTGAGTTTCGATTTAACTTTGGCGCATCATTCTCAACAGTGGCCATTGAAAGATAGGAAACAACTTAATTAAAGACAAACGAAACGTTTCCTCCAAAATGTAATTGATGGTCTTCTCAAACTGTATGATCAGTCATGAGTCAGTGCTATACTACGATATGTTTCAATTCCTATTTCAAGAGATGAATGTTAATTCGGACCCAGAACCTCTGATGTAACGCCCAATCCCGATAACAATAAGCCAAGTGGGCGCCGAATAATGAAACGATTTCCAAAGCCATGCAAGTTAGTTTAGTTTAGTAAGAGTTTTACGGTAGTCGCAACTATATTCACGATTGTTTTTTTAAAACGCCGTTTGGAGTTCAGATCTCACGTCGCCCACACTGTAGCATAGCAGGGCATGGGTTAACTCCTTCGCCGCTAGACGTGAACATGTCTTGTGCTCTTTGGTGAGATTGGGGAGTAGGCCTCGTAGTAAAAGGGTTAAGCTAACGACACCCTTTTACCAAAACTCATCTGGAACAGTCGAAGACGACAGATGTTTCATTTTCTGATCACTCTGCTCCCCATTGTAAGAAGTAACACATCGTCAACAACCTACACTAAGCCCAGAAAGCAATATTGTTTGTTTGTTTTTATGAAAGTTTTTAAAAATATTTTTAATGGTTGATTCCTTTAACACTAGACTATGGTGTATTTTAATGATATTCTTTAAACATAATATAGTATTAAAAATTTCGGCAAAATATTTCTTGAGCGTATGCAACGGATTCCATAAGTTAAGAAACTGCATTTGTTTAAATTTTAAATTCTAGGATTAGTACACGTGAACAAGTGGTCAACGGAAAGTTGTTTCGGGGACACTTGTATTGATATAAAGCTTTCGATCATCTCATTCTCACTGGAAACAGAGGGCAAGCGAGGAGGGGGGGGGGGACTAGAACAGCATGATATTACAATTAATATTTCGAAAATCTTAATAGATTGGTGACAGAGATAGACCGTGATAATATAATGTGCTTTTTTTCGTTGTTGTGGTTGTTTTTCAGAGCACCCAAGCAAAAGATGTAAATGGCCAACCATGATCTCCGATGTCTGTTTCACATTTAGCATTTTATGAAGATGACCACTCTCATATCTAAGAACCACTCCCCCTTTCCTCTCATACATATCTTGGAACACAGAGCGAGAAACTAGCTATGCGTGCGTCCTTAACAGAGAACTTGTGCGTTAATCGGTGGGAACCCCAAGGGTCCCATAAGTAAAGAAACTGGGTTATGCAGAGTGTTTTTATCTTAAATTAAAGTCCTTCCCCCTTCCTTAATCATTTGAGCTTCCTTAAAGCTCTGAGCACACTAGGAAAAGTTCGGACATTGCTCATCTGCAAAGTATGCCGTCATCTGCAGTGAAGAGATATGATTGAGCGAAGATTTCCTCATTTGTACACACGCTGCCGTATGACGAGATGAGTATTTCCCGAGTGTTTGCCGGGCCTTAAGCTCACGTCCTTGACCTTAACACACAGGTCAGTGAATCTTAACAACAGTATGTCCCTTCTGAACAGAGCACCAGGTCGTACGTCACTAGAGATCAGGAAACAAAATGTTCTTTGAGAAATGTTTTTGAAATCAAATGAAACAGTGCTTTGCCTTTTGAGCAATATACCACCTGAACCTGAAGGACCTTTGCACATCAGCTCTTGGTGGTTGACTGCCACACATACACACCAGCATGCTGAGGCGTGTATTTGGCACACACATAGGATGGTAAAGTTTGTCACACATACACACCAGCATGCTGAGGCGTGTATTTGGCACACACATAGGATGGTAAAGTTTGTCACACTCAGACGAGAGCTCTGGTCCATCAGGTAAAGGGCGCGTCCTTAACTTTCTGACACACATTTCTTTAAAAGGTCAAAAGGTCATCAGGTTAAGGACATGCTCTTGACATTCAGACATAATTTCCTCCTAATTTCATCGAGTTCAGAGCATGTCCTTGACCTTCTAACAAACATTTCTTCCAAAGGTCATCTGGCGATTAGAAAAACATTTCCTTCAAAGGTCATCGGGTTACGGGCGCAACCTTGACCCTCTAACAAATTTTCTCAAAAGGCCATCAGGTTAATGGCAAGTCCTTGACCTTTTAACAGGTATTACTTCCAAAGGTCATGGGGTTAAGGACAAGTCCTAGACCTTCTGACATACATTTCCTCCTAAGGTCGAAAGGTTAAGAGCACGTCCTTGACTTCCAACACCACATTTCCTCGAAAGCTTCACCAGGATAAGCACAAGTCCTCGACTTTCCAACAAACATTCCCTCCAAACGTCACTGAGTTAAAGTCTCGTCTATCGGGTTAACGACACGTCCTTGACCTCCTGACACACGTCCTCCAGAGGGCGTCGTACTGGTACTCGCGAGGACATCGGCGCTCCTCCATCTGGCCGTAGCGGGAACACAGCACGTAGTGGCTGCAGTCCCGGCAGGATGGGTGCGTGCCCGGGTCTACGTTCACACAGCTCCTCACACACCCGCGCTTGGCCGGAGTCCTTGGCCTGGGAGAATGAAATTTTAAAATTATTATTTACTAGCTTGGCTCCCTTTCGATGAAAGGAATGATCGGTGCATAAACATCAACTGAAAGTCATTGGCCTTCTATATTTTTACACTCAACTGGAATGGAGCAAATCTTGAGAGATCTAAAAAATTAGAAGGTCTAGATCTATACTCTCAAAACAAAATGCGCCTCTCGAAATATCACTTCCGGCACTTCTGCTGTGAAGGACAGCTGCGCGGATTTGTTTCGTTTCTCAGTGGAATAACAACAAAAGTCAAAGAAGGACGTCAACCTTTTGTCAATTTTTTTTTCTAAATTCAGAAAATGATTTTTTTTTTTTATCGGGCTCCGTCATGGAGACCTATCTATCTTTTTGCAGGTACTTGCCAACTTTCAACTCTGCAGCTGTCATAGTTTTAAGGGGAAAAGTGACATATGCGTTTTCAAGTTGCCAAATATATAATGGATGTATAGACTGATTGATTCTCTATTCCACTTTCATGGTTGTACACTCCAGAATTTCAAAGGTTTGCTGGTGTGCACGGCTTGTGAACGGAAACCTCACTTTTTTAGAATGGCGTTTTAGAAGACGGACTTTCCCAAGAATAGATCTAAACGAAACTAAAGAAAAACTGAACATTAAACAACATTGACTTCAGGCTCCTCAATAAAACTGTGCACCCTTTGAATGATTCTGACCCACCATTAATTTTGTCAAATTCGAAAGGTAAGTGGTTTGGGAGTTTTAGGCGGCCAAAGTGACGGACTTTCACAATATGTAGAGATTAAAGGTAAGTATTTTTACGCCAATATCCACACAATTTAGTAAGTTGTTTTTTCTTCAAATTCAGTGTTTAAAGCAACCCCCCCCCCCCCAAACCCATACCACATAAAAGACCCATATCATGAAAAAAACAACTTCTAAGACAACAGCATACATCATAAATGACATAAATATCAACATTTAAATTTGTGTTGTGCTTTTAAATAAAATCCACACAATGTAGATCATTTAAGAGGCACATTTCTGGCGATGCCTATAATTGCCAACCCTGGTTGAGAAAGATACTACGTCTCAGCAGAAAGACCGAGATACTCAATACAAACTTTGTCCCCACTTAAGAATCGAACTTGGGTCTCCTGCGTGTGAAAGTTTAGTGCCTAACCGCTACACCAAAGGCACCTGAACAAATTAGTCCAGACTTAAAACTTTGGGCACTTAATTCTGCAGCTGTTATTGACAAGTAAGTTAATATGAAATTGTCCGTTAGAGCTTATGGCACTTAATTCTCTTATCACCATGAACAAATAACTAAGTCTTGGCTTAAAACTTAAGGAGTTCAGTAATTTAAAAAAATTACCCTTCTTAGGAGGATGGGGACTGAGGGAAAAGGAAAATGGGATAGGGAGGGGTAGGCCTTGCAGTACGGTCGACAGCAACAACAGTAGTAACAGCAACATTAACAACAATAACAACAACAACAGTAACAATATCAACAAGAACAACAGCAACAACAACAACAACAACAACAGCAACAGCAGCAACAGCAGCAGCAACAACAACAACAACAAAAGCAAAATAGCGATAACCGCCAACACTGCCTCACAAAAAGCATGAACATCATCAACAAAATCGATATCAGCAACAACAACAACAGCAGCAACAACAACAACAACAACAACAACAACAACAACAACAACAACAACAACAACAATAACTACAAAAGTATAGTGACGCACCTATAGCCTGTGAAATCAGTGTCCCTCCCAGCATAGTTCCTTCTTTCCTTCCTCTTCCTCTTCTCCTCATATCGCTCCCGTCTCTCTCGCGGAGTCAAGCCTGTGGTCTCATCGTAGTACTCACTGGCAGGGGCGTCTCTGCAAGGGGGAGGGGAGGTCAGAGTTCGAGTGAGTATGTATGCTTCTATCTTTTTTATCAATCATATCTCATCTCATATTTTTTCTTTGATGTTATTGTTTGTCTCTTTTATCTGATTTTATTTATCCTTTCCTATTTTCATCCTATCTAAAGTGATCTGAAGATATCAGAACCATGGGAAATCTCCACTGGCAGCAATTAAAGTGAATAATGAACTATCAGAATATATTGAAATCTATAGAGGAGTGAAACAGGGTTGTGTCCTCTCTCCCTAACGTTTATTTTTAGAGAATTTCAAGACCTGCAGGAAGTCACTAATGGAGGTTGCAACAGCATTAACCTGAGAAACGCAATTAATAATACAGTCTTGCTTGCAAACACGAGCGAAAATTTTGTTTTATTGTAAAGGTAATACAAGAGAACAGTAGCAAGGCAGGCTTCGGCGTGAACGCAAACAAAACAAAAACAGTAGTCAATCAAAACCTGCTGAAATAATAACAGACAAAGCCATAGATGGGGAGAGAATTGAACAAGTACACCAATTCAAATAGACAGGGGCAACAATCACAGATGATAGCCGAAGTGAAAAATAAATCAACATAAAAACAGTAAATGCAAAAACAAGATTCAAACAAACGCACAACTAAGATATATTTAAATCCAGAAAAGATAGAAGATCATTACACCTCGACCTCTGAGTCAGAGATGACACCTCCAGAAACGAAAATGCGATCTGGTTTATCCCATTCTACCTTTTACCTGATCCTATTTTTTTTCTTATCTATTTTAGCATTATTATTTCGTTTATCTGATCTCATTTATCTTAACTTCAAAATATGTGTCACTCACAGTATCTCACTCCACCAAACTGGTCCAGGAACTGATAGCACTTACGGTACTGTTAGTCCTTCTTGGATAGGGCTCAGATCTTTTTTATCCGATTCTGTCTTTATTTATCGTATCTAAAACCGTTTATCTGGTTCTATCTTTTTATCGTATCTGATACCATTTATATAGTTCTAACTTTTTATTCAATCAAATCCTATCTTTTTTCACGATTTTAATCCCATATTTTTATTCATGATTATCTCTTCTGATGTCGCCTGATCAATCGTATCCTATCTTTTTATCGCGCCTTATCTGATCTTATGTATTCGTTGATCCTATCGTTATACGAGTATTATCTTTTTCGTTTGATTTTATTCATCTAATTATATCTTTTTTCCCTTATTGTGTGTGATCTTATTGGTCTGTGTGCCAGTCACATAATCTCACTCCGGCAGTCTAGTCTAACAACTGGCAGTCCTGGTGGAACCGTTGGTCCTTCGTAGGTAGGGTTCTGATCGAGTTTATCTGATTCCTATTGTTTACTTGTTATATCTGATTTTTTAAAATATGATTCCACCTTTTTATTGTATCTGATATAACACATCATTCTACCTTCTTTTCAAATGCATCTTATCTTATCATTTCTATCTGATCCCTGTTACTTCCTTTATTCATCTGTACTTGTGTGATCTGGTTTATCCTATTCTATCTTTTTTATGGTACCTTATCTGATCTAATTTATTTGTTGATCCTCACGTGGTTTTTTTTGTGGTTTTTTGTCTGATCTATTCTTAAGACTCTATGTTTCTATCTTACCGTGTGTGATCTTGTTTGTCTATTACGTGTTACTCACATAATCTCACTCCGCAAGTCTAGTTTAGCAACGGACCGCCCAGATGGTACTGTTGGGCCTTCGTAGCTAGGGTTCCATCTACAGGTTGGAGACTGGCCTGCCTCACACTCCTGTGTGAGTTGGTTCCATTCCGTGTCTGTGCCGGGACATCTGAACCTGCTGTAGGTCCCGCGGCGGCACTGGACGTACACGTCACAGCCCAGTTCTGAGGGGTACTGTCCATCCGGAGTGCCTGGGGGTTGGGGGGGGGGAGATACAGAGTGTGGTGGTGAGAATATAAAGGTGGTTCAGGTGAGGAAGGGGGTGAGAGGTTGGGGGGGGGGTTGCGTACTTTGTTTAAGGGTGGTATAGTGTAATGTGCGTGTGGGGTAGTAATGTGTGTGGGGAGTGAAAGAAGTAGATAGAAGGGGGGTGCGGAGGGAGATACGGGGGGAGAGAAGGAGGGAAAGAATGGAGGAAGAGAGGGGCGAGGGAGAGAACGGGAAAGAGAGAGGAAGACAAAAGGAGACAGAGAGAGTGAGGAATAGAGAAAGATAAAGAGAGAGAGAGAGGGAGAGAGAGAGAGAGAGAGAGAGA